CAGTACCGACGCTGAGAATAACTAGGAGCTACACCCCCCCTGAGCGCCTATACAGCGCGCAGAGGGATAGCTTTACTTTTTATCCTATTCAGAAACACAGCCCTTAACCTTAGGGCGCTCATTCAAGTTTTTTTTAAAGAAACACTTTCCAATTTCTATCCACAGATCTACAGTTACCGGACGTTTCCGTGGGTCAAGGAATGGTGTGTTGTGCCACGTGGGCAGACTGGCTGGGTGACATTTCGAGTAGGTCTTTTATTTTTTGGAATATAGAGAACCACATGCATTTGACACGCACTGTTAGCCGAACAAATGAATAATAACCACCTCGTTGAAATCAGATTCCTGGCAACTCTCACGCCCATTACTATGCTCACGAGAGCCTGCCACTGAACCACGAAGTCCACACCCTCAACCCACCCTTTTAAGTTTCAATTCAACATTATCTTCCCTTCCAAGTGATATTTTCTCTTTCAGAATTCCCCCCATTGTTCGCTCCCTACCGTTTCAGTGTAGGTTCCATGTCCTAGTTTATACTTTATTTGCCTTCCCTAAAATGTCTTCGAAATCGCTGCTTCTCTACGAACGAATTTTCCTTCGTCTTCAGCTAAAAAAATAGGAGACATCTATTCTACTCGATCCGGCAGACCGAGCTATTCGAAACCTGCGGACAACAGAATTCCTCAGTAAACCTAAAGGTCGCGTATTTCTCAATGAAGACAGAAAACAGATGAAAAACCAATACTTTCTCTTTTTAGGTGATGGCGTCACTGAGCGGAGGAAGTGACGCGGTTTGACGTCATCAGTACTATGACGCTTCACTGGGATAAATTGTCACCAGGAGAATTTCAGCAGCTTCAAGACTTTGCGGCCTGTAAGTGTCTCCTCTCAAACATAATTATAATGCTTCTTAATTTTTATAATCGCAGGTGTTGACAATTTGACGGGACAGTTCTTCTAACGTTAAGAATGCTCTTTATGGCCAAAATTAGTTATTCAGGTCTATAAAAGACGAAAGTAAGCATAAAAGTTATGATTAGAGCATAGCTGACGTAGATGTTTATAATCCACACGTATAAAAACATTTAAACAGCTTATTATTTCATTTAGTGTTCTGTCTGACGACAGGTCCATATGAACAGGATCCTTCCATCCTTTTCTCGGACTGGGACCTGTTCATATACGTTCTTGGCAGATGATCCAGAAGTGGTTTGCCACTGCCTTCTTCTGTGTGTGAATGGAGTAAGTGTTGGGATGCCACGGAGGAAAACTCCGGGCTGCCTAGACCACGGCCTTGCCCACCACAAGTTATAAATTCGGGCACCGCCAGGAATCGACGCCAGGTCCATATGAACAGGATCCTTCCATCCTTTTCTCGGATTGGGACCTGTTCATATACGTTCTTGGCAGATGATCCAGAAGTGGTTTGCCATTGCCTTCTTCTGTGTGTGAATGGAGTAATTGTTGGGATGCCACGGAGAAACCGGGGAAACCCCGGAGGAAAACTCCGTGTTGCCTAGACCACGGCCTTGCCCAACACAAGTTATAAACTCGGGCACCGCCGGGAATCGAACCCGAGACCCCTGGATTACAAGGCCAGCGTTCTAACCGCTAGACCACCGTGCCTACTTAAACAGCTTATCTAAGCTAAATATTGCCCAAGTCTGCAGCGAAAAAGTATTTAAATCAGTTCAAAAACTTTGTTTTTAAAAATCTTAACACTTTTCATTTTGCAGATATCTGTATTCATTTGTTTTCTGTATCATTTTCAAAGTGCAGAGTTCTTTTGTGCTCACTCTGTACATGCCAAACTCCTCATCCACTAGAAAGTACGGCCAAAATGACGTAAAGTTTAACAGCGCCTTACATTCTCAGTAAAACAGAAATGCTAGCTGAGTTACGTATTCTCTTAATTTACATCTTAATCCAAATAGAATGCTAATAATGGCCGGAAGTGAATTATGTGGTTGTTAACTTCTCTCAAAGACGGAAATTCCTCGAAAAGAATATCTTATTCTTCATAAAACTAAATAACTGCCATCATCTTCATTGAAATTAACTTTATAGGAAACTTAAAACTTTAAACGTCCCATCACAGACTTCCAGCACCCAAAACACGGTCACCTTTCGACTTCTTCATTGTAGAGGCAATGGGAATACGAACCACGGTATGACTGGACCACAAACCATTTACAGAAAGCGGTTTTCATCCTCCTACAGTGATTACTCCCACAGGCCTGTGACGTGCGCTACAAAGTAAACACAGATCCTGGTTTGGAGGACAATGATACATCTCGAGAGAACGAACGAGCTGGATCCAATTCGTTGACGCACTCGCTTCAAAACGGAAGGAAAGTTGCAACGCGACTGACGGCTTGTCAAAATGTCTCTACGTACGACAGACCTTGAAGTGCCCAATTGTATAGAGTGGCCGAGAAGTTGCCTTACCTCTAATTACACTAACTAACTTGATGACTTACGTAACCCGAATTAACCAAAGCCCTCCACCAGTTCCTGTCCTGGGCCAACAAAATCCAGTCTCCTTCAATTCCTATCTCCCATAGATCCCGCCTGACATTATCCTCCCATCTACGTCTAGGTCTCCCCAGAGGTCTCTTCCCCTCAGGCTTCCCAACCAATACCCGGTGCACACCTCTTGTCCCATCCATGCGCGCTACATGCCCAGCCCATCTCATTCTTCTCGACTTAATCACCCTGACAATATTGGGGGAGGAGTACACATTTTTAAGCTCGTCATTATGCAGTTTTCTCCACGCCCCATCGTCTTCTCTCCTAGGTCCAAATATTCTTTCCTCAACACCAAATTCTGAAACACCTGCAATCTGTGTTCCTCCCTCTGAGTGAGAGACCATGTTTCGCACCCATACAAAACAACAGGCATACTTTTGTATACTTTAATTTTCAGGTTCTTAGAAATCAGACGGGAAGACAAAATATTTTGAACTGAGAAGTAGCAAGCTTTTCCAGAATTTAGTCTCCTCCTAACTTCCTCATGAATATCATTTTGATTTGTTATTGTCGTTCCCAAATATTTCAACTCTGTAACACTTTCAAAGGACTTATTAGCCACCCTAAGATAATTCTGCCCGCCTGTCTTCTGACGACGAGATACTAAAAATGTACTTAGTGTTTTCTGAATTTACTTCCAGCCCCACTTGTCTACCAGCCTCTAGTAAAACTTCTGCGTTCCTCTTTATTGCATTCATATCGTCACCCAATAAATTAACATCATCAGCATTTGCCAATAGCTGATGTGTCCCATTCAATTGCAAACCCTCCCGACTATCGTGGACTTTCCTGATGGAATATTCTAGCACAAAGTTAAAGAGCAAGGGAGACAAAGCATCTCCTCGTTTCAGACCGTCACCCCTAATTACACAATTTAGATAAATTTAAAATTATCTTGTTCAGAATTCCATGTGGGTGGTACACGTACAACGGGAATAATTATCACGGAACGCAAACTTTAATTTCCTGTCACGAGTGACTCCTCAGAAGTTAATGTTTAAGGATTGAAATCGTGAAGAAAACATGAAATTAAAGGAGAAGGTACACTAGAGTTTTTAGCATATCAGAAGCATAATTATAATTTCGTTTTCTTCCGGGGGCTTCCCCGGTTTCTCCGTGGCATCCCAACAATTACTTCATTCACACACAGAAGAAGGCAATGGCAAACCAATTCTGGATTACAAGGTCAGCGTTCTAACCGCTAGACCACCTCATATTATTATTATTTGAGTGTTCTGTCTGACGACAGGTCCATATGAACAGGATCCTTCCATCCTTTTCTCGGACTGGGACCTGTTCATATACGTTCTTGGCAGATGATCCAGAAGTGGGTTGCCATTGCCTTCTTCTGTGTGTGAATGGAGAAACCGGGGAAGCCCCCGGAGGAAAACTCCGTGTTGCCTAGACCAAGGCCTTGCCCAACACAAGTTATAAATTCGAACCCGAGACCCCAGGATTACAAGACCAGCGTTAGCAATCAACTAGCTTGATCGTATTTCAGTGGGACCTATTACAGAACTCATTTGATGATAACCACAGCAACATGAGTGATATTACAGTTATGAAAATCCCGTCAAAGGAGCTACGAAAGGACATTTTATGTGATGTACTGCTGAGCAGCGTTACTTGCAGGGGCTTCGCACATCACGTCTGGTTTTTATGAACACGTTTTCCCCCTATATATTGTAACATCAAGCAATAAAATATCTCTATGCCATCCGCAGCTGGTACTTCTGTATCGGGAATGTCTTTGTTGGGTTTGCAATGGACTGAGGACAACCGCGAACAAACTCCCCCTTCCTTATTCCAAGAAACTCGTAATGAAAAGCTAATAAATTTATTCTTCGTAAAATATTAGGGTATGTAGCAAGCTCGGTGTGAAAATAAATTCATACAAATTTTTACCTGACAACACTGAGGAGACAATACAACTTTGGAGATCGAGGGGCGGATAGAAGATAATATTAAAATTGATCTCACGATCAAAATTATGGACGGGATTCAAATGGATATGAATTTAAGAGTACAGTGGTGGGTTGTTGTGAATATGGTAACAAACCTTGGAGTTCCATAAAATGAGACATTTCTTGATCAACAGGCCTACTAGCTTCTCAACATAGACGGTTCGGTGGATATAATTTGGCTGTAAAACACGGTGTGTCCTATATATCAGGAAATATCTTGTGTAACTCGGTATCTGTGAAAGAAAGAAGTTTCTGAGGCCCACGGCGGCTACCGTCAGATGTTCTAGACCTTGTTTATAGCGGTGCTAATGTCTCGGCGAGTTACGATGTCTTATCGGCAGCAGGGGGGGAGGTAGTCGAGGGAAACTATTTCAGTCCAGATGGAATTTATGATCCCGCAAGGGGCTGAGGGTGAACTGCGAATTCTGCTCGTGTACGAACGCAACCCAGGACGTCAAATATGAAACAGAGGTCAAGAGTTGCACTACGTGAAGAAAGTAATTTTATATAGTTCAGACACACTACAGGCTCCTGCAAAAAATCAAATCCTGTATGTGTACAATATGTATGTCTAGAAGATATCTGTCTTCTGGGTTGTTGCGCTGTGTAGTTTGGTCGATGTTAACCAACGTTTCGGAGGTCATACTGCCTCCGTCATCAGGGCGATGAGTATGAAGATTTCTGTCTTCTGGGTTGTTGCGCTGTGTAGTTTGGTTGATGTTTACCAACGTTTCAGAGGTCATACTGCCTCCGTCATCAGGGCGATGAGTATGAAGATTTCTGTCTTCTGGGTTGTTGCGCTGTGTAGTTTGGTCGATGTTAACCAACGTTTCAGAGGTTATCCGAATAGAGACCTTTAAAATTTTCAGGGTCATCCGAAGGTCATTTCTTCAATCGCATATTTCTGCCGTTCTGTTGGAACCCGAGTGACCATATTCATGACAGTATGAGGTCAAGAACAGGTCAACGTCACCTCAAGATCACGATAAGATCAGTCTCTGGTTTTCCGAATTGAGAGGCCTTTGAATTTTTTAAAGTAATTTGGGGATTTTAGCCATACACTACCACGCTGGCCAGTGCGGGTTGGAAGCGTACAAACATCCATGCCTTGAGTGGGACTCGAAACCAGGCACACGAGGACCATGCCTCAGACGGCGTAGCTAATACAGCCCATTAAATATTTCAAGGTCATTCGGCAGACATTTTTTTCAAAATGCATATCTCTGCTGATCTGTAAGCATGCGAGTGTCCATATTAATATCAGTTTGATGTCATGGATAGATCATAAAACTTCGCATACCGTGTAGTGTATTAGAATATAGAGTAAACAAACCAACAACTATTAACACTATAATAAACACTATTGCCATACGCGTTTCTA